CGTATGAATTCGACGTGCCGTGTTCAAGTCCCTTGAAAGGGTTGCTTTCGGTGTCGTTGTTGGCTTGCTGCCGGCTTACGTCGATCGAGTTGCTGACGCGTTCAGGTGGCGCACTCCCGTGGAACTCGCCTTGACTGGGAAAGTTTCCAGGGACCCGTACATTACCACGCCGAAACAAGTATTGCATTGTACAGTTATTCATACAGAGCCTTGATACGCTTGTACTCTTTGGTGTACTGGGATTCGACCAGCGACGCTTGCCGGAACGTCGACCATTCTGGAAACTCGTCGAGGAGAACCTGGGGGTTGTAGCTGAGCAGCAATCGAATACCCTGGCTAATGTCGTTGAGCGTGCGGGCGAGGTCGATATGGTCATGGTCGAGGAAGAGGCGCTGTAGTTCGAGGAGCTCAACGCAACTGCGCACGAACAAGATCGCATGCTCCTGCACATTCTTCTGAAGCTTGAGCAGACTGTCGCAGCTGTCTGCGACGAGCTTGTGCACGCGCATCATGACGACGTGGTCGTGGGCTACGAGTTCGAGCAAATCGGAGAGTGCCTCCAGTGCTGCGTGGAGGACCTGGGGTGCATTATTGGCAGCATGTTCCGTGAAGAGGTCTTCCAGCACCCCTAAGTCCGTCTCAATCTCTTCCAGCGTCTTGTCGGGTCCTTGTGGAAGCGGCGTTGACGTTGACGACGGCGATTGTGGCGGCGTCGAGAACGAATCGCCGCGACCGCACATTGGACAGTGGCAGACAAATCCAAACTGACGGACGAGCTGGGCTTGCCGCCTCTCACGACTTTGTTCACGGGGATAAATGTACGAGATGAAGAGCTGCTCGCCCTTCTTGATTGCCTTCGCTGCACGCACTTCGGACACGCTCAGCCCCGATTCTGGACTAAACTTGACGCAGTTTGGGTTGCAATCGTGGTTGAACATAGCTGTGTGAAGAAAGACGCCGCTCGTGAACGCGTTGCACTGCATTCCCAACACGACCTGGAGCCATCGGCGCAATGTTGCGTCGTCGTCGGTGCCGTTGATACGCCCATACTGCGTGAGGAGTTGGGTCAACGAGTCGTCATATTCTTCGTGTGCGGCGTCAAGCAGGGTCTTGGGCAAGTCTTCCAGAACCACGGGATGGAGCGGCGCCATGTTGGATGCGATTTCATCAGCATCTTCGGATTGCAAGATCTGTTCCACGGTTGCTAAGAGCAAGGCTGATCGGTCGTCCACGTCCGGCCACAACACATACGCGCGTTCGCGAAGCAATAGTGTTCCCGCCGGGACGTCTTCCGCGGCGTAATACCCCCGTCCGCCCCCAAACTCGTCTGCGTTTGCTCGATATTCCATTGGACCGAAGAAATCGGGTGGCAAGTGGGTCCACAGCGCGGGCTGGTACTGTGACGACATGTCTACGTTGGACGAAGTGCTCACTGAGACGGACGTCGTGAATTCCAAGTGCACATCTGCAGAGGGCACCGCTGCTTCCACTTCTTCGTCGTCGCTGTCGTCGTCGAAGAGTCTCAGCGCCTTTTGGACGGTCGTGCTGGTCATCGCAATTGCTACCCAATCCAATCGAAAAATGACCATACTCCGGAAAATAGGACGATTATCCGGTAATTCTGGTCCGCTTCATCGCTGCCGAACTCGTCAGACGAGGCCGGCGACACGGCTGATGCACGAAGATGCTGCTTAAGACACGGCTGATGCACGAAGATGCTGCTTAAGACACGGCTGATGCACGAAGATGCTGCTTAAGACAAGTCACATCGCTGAAACAAAATACAACTCAACGACGCTATGTCGGCCAGAATTGTCGCGACGGTGCCAGCCGCATCCGGTTTGGCCACTTGGACCAGAATGCCATGGGGAAAGTTCGTCGTGCGGATTTCCACGACGCTGTCGCCATCTACAAGAGAATTCATGATGTTTGAGGACATGTCTACGTAGTGAAGGCGATCGTACAGTGCGCAGCGTGAAGGATATGCGCATGATCGACGCTCTGGAGGCTAATGCGTACTGCCCAATCATCACTGATTGTTGCAACGAACGCGAGCTTGTGTCCTCGCTTGGTTGCGTCCGCCCATTTGGACTTGAACGCTACATGAGTTCATCAATCTCAATGCAAGTCATTATGTTGCATGTACCATCATTGAGGCTGCCAACGGCGTGGAAGAATGAAGCAACTGTGCCGTTCGTGAACTTGCGAGGAAGCAGCCCATCGACCACGACGTCCTTGACGTCCGTACGCTTGCCCAGCATCCGCGCAATCACGACAGCCTTTCGCGCCAAGACTGCGCCCTGCCATGGCCATGAGAATCACATTACACGTCGAACGCACCGTGAGATCGTCACGAGGGTCGTCCTCGGTCAGACCATTCTCGTACACGGTCGTCACGGCATCTCCAAACGTGCTACCGCTACACAAGCGACGCCTCATTAGCTCGTTATAATGGTCGCAGAATAAAGATGCTTACGCTTCCATTTCGGCCAGGACGTGACCCACGGCATCGCTAAATGTACCACGGACAAGCGTGATGTGGTCGCCGCTGGCTTGCAATCGTGCGAGCGTCGACAGCACTGGCAGGCCTCTCCCGACCGTGGCGTCGACAGCGACGAGAGAACTCTGTTTTGCTTTGGCTGTATTCAAGACGAGCGATTGATACGACGCCCATGGCCCAGCTACCGCCTGGATGTTGGCAATGACGAGTCCCATGCCAAGCGACTTTGCCCAGATCAGATCGTCCACATGTCCTGGTGCTGCTGTCGTCGTGCAATCCACGACAATGAACTTGTCGTAATGGCCGAACGCCGCCAAGTCTCCTAATACGTCGCGAAGTGTGTCTCGTTGCTGCACCCCGTCATCGTCCGTATCTGGTTCGTCAACCTGTTCGTTGGTGGAGCTGTCAACATCCACGGGACTGGGGCTCTCGTTTGGCGGATTGGCACCGTGGAAGACCGTCGTGTGATTGAGTAGCGACCGAAGGTGATCCCATGAAAGTCCATGAGAATGCTTGAGGTAGCCACGACTCCCACCGACGGCAGCAATGTGCACCGAAGCACCACAAAAGTCAGCCTGTGCGACGCTGATTGTATCCAACGCGTGCAAAACCATCCGGCCGAGACTCCCATCGTCGCCAATCACGACAAGCCCGAGCTTTCGTGCATCACACATCGTTTGCCCAGGGTGGGGGTGCTGGTCATGGAGCGCCGTCTGCAGCACAAGACCAAGCCCCACGCACACAGCAGCGAACACCCACTGTGTCCACATATTGGCGAAGATCTGACTTCCCCATCAGGCGACTCAGTTATCCGGACGATATCATGCGCATGCAGAATTCTTCAACCCCAACACGCTGGTACTTGTCTGCGGAGGTCGGCGACAGCGGCCATGCGCATGCCACGAGACTTGACGCAAATCCAACGCGAATGAACGATGGTGACGGACATGTTGCGGTCGATGTGAAGGTGGCCATTGCACATGCTGTAAGCGAATTCTTCGTCATTGCAAGTTGTTTCTGCAACGTAGACACCTCGCATGGCCGTCCGCGAAGGCACATAGTACCGTCGTCAAGCGCATGATCATTGTACACCTGAGCTCGTGCCACTTTAAGCTTGGCATCGCGGGCTCACGTGCGGTGGCAGCTCCCCATGCGTCCGTCCAGGCCCAACGTTCCTTCCATTTCCTCCTTGCCATTGTGAAACGTCGCAGATCGAGCCAGCGCTGTGATTGGCCGGAATATTATGTGCTCCAACCACGTCGACCATTCCTCACCTGGCGACGCTTGCCTGGCAATCGAGGTCGCACTTCGAGACATGGAGACGAAGGTCGCTCGGTCCACGTGGCGACAGTATGCCACGCTAGTTGTCGGGATGACTTGCCTTTGCTTCTTGTGCTTTTCGGGGTCGTGGGCGCGTCGAGACGACGTCACTGTATTCCGGAAATTAACAGGAATCACTCATAACGAACCAACGTGCTCGAGCGATTCGGACTGCGCAAGTGCTGGTTCGGCGAATCGACCACACGTTTGTATTGAGCAGGCGTGTCACCCACGGCCGCTATTCCCGTTCAAGTCGTTGGACGTGGCTGGCACGCTTAGTGCTTTTGCGTGCATTGTCATCTCGTCTGGTAGGACGTTCTGCAGCTCCACATATACGTCGTCTTTTTCATGGCCAATGGTATGTTTTGTGTCAGGTGGCGGTCTCGGCGGCGGCGGTCTCCTCGTTCCCTTATACATCATCGTGCTCGGGTTCAGCTCGCACGATGCGATTCCTCTATCGAAAGCCACCATCTTTGGCAGCGCCGTCGCAAGCTGCCTCTTGAACGTTCGCAAGAAGCACCCATTGGACTCGAAGCGGTACGTTCGTCTTGTCCTACCCGCCGTGTCACAGTTTAGCCGACTAGTCCCCTGATCGACTACGAAGTCATGGTGATGATGGAGCCGATGACATTGGCAGGCACGATCATCGGCGTCAGCGTGAACAAGGTACCTGGAAGGATCCCCAACACGCGTAGGACTCATTTGCGTCGTGTGGCCAGGTGTGCCCGGAATGGATCATCACGATCTTGCTCGTCGTGTTGCTTTCGAAAACGAGTGCTCGCATGATCCAAAAAGGAAAAGTCATTTGGAACCACGAAGCGACCAAAGATCGCAACCTCCAAGCAGTAGTAGTGCAGCAATGGGTGGATGTCGTGCGCGCGGCCAAGTACTCGCCTACGGTCGTTTCCTGCGCAAAGAAATGGCGGGCTGTCCTCAACCACGACTCCAAGGACAGCTCACAACTATCGTCTGTGTCCACCGAAGTTGCTCTATCGATGGCCAGTCCCATCGACGACGATTCCGACTTGGACGACGACAACGTGTCCGACAACGACTTTTTGCTCAAGAAACCGGCGCCCATGTCGGGTGGGGCAGACGTCAGGATGAAGCCGTCACCGTTGCGATTTGCAAAAATGGACGACCTCCACGAGTACAAACGATCGATTCCGTGGGGTGACTTGTCGGTTCTGCTGGTCGCGTGGCTTGGTTTGTTTGCCTACTCGATCCTGAAAGGTGGCCATGGCGCCCCCAGTGTCATCGGCCTCGTCTGCGGCAGGTGCGGACCAGGTCCTCGCATGCGGGTGTCGACATAATGGATGATGTCTGTAGCATGGCGTACTGGAGCTTGACTGTACTCGCTTTTCCCTTTTTTGTGTCCGTGACGACCTACTTTGGGTTTAAAATCCTCCACCGCCACGAGCTCATGCAAAGCCACGGGTATTCCATACAAGTCGGTGTTCAGGTCGCGATGAGTTGTGTCGTTGTAGGTATGCGTACATGCCTGGGGACATTCAGTGGAATCGGCGCACGACGATGCTGTACCCGTCGTTGTGCACGGTGGCCGGTGTGGCTGCTGGCATGCTCGGTGCGTGTAGCTCCCTCCATCGGAGAAGCCATTGCATCGAGTTGACGCGGCATGTCGTAGGAATTGGGGGCGGCATGGTCAAAGGCCCGCTATTGTTGGAGATTGGAATGCATCCACAAGTGGCGTCCGCGACCTCGACCGCTATGATACTCTTCACGTCGTCCGCGACAACGATCCAGGTATGCCTGTGCGATTGCAATTCGTCGAAACCTGGTGTGCAAATAGTTTATCGTGCTCGGGATGCTGCCATACGACTATGCAGCGTGGTACGGCGCCGTGGGGTTTCTTGGTGGAATTGTCGGCCAGCTTGGCCTCAGCTACTTGGTTCGCAAGTACCGCAAGACTGCGTTTGTCCTGTTTGTTATTGCCGGCGTCATCGCTGTCAGCGGAACTGTCATGGGAATTCTCGGCGTCCACGACATCATTGCCCACGGCTTCCGGGGATTCCGATATCTCTGCTACAACGTCTAGTGTGGCGACGTTGTAGCCGTATTTAACACGCTCATGGTGGAGGCTTTTACATTGGAGCGTTGGCGGCTGTGCATCCTGTGCCATGGAGTTGAACGCTCGATATGTACTGCTTAGTTTATCTACTTGATGCCTGCGAGGTCTGCGAGGAATCCCAGCGGTGGGCGAGCCACGTGCGGAGCATTGGCCTGTACCCATGCCTAGCCGATCGAGCTATTAACCCCAGACACACATGGAACACGACAGTCGTCGACTTACGTCGATGTGCTTGTCCAGGTCGCGACCGACGGGACTGAATGGAATCGGTCCAATGCCTTCCAATCCGTACGCTGGACGGTGGCCCACGGGAAGCGTGATCGAGTTCTCTTGGACGTGTGTGTGAAGGCTTGCGATGTATCGGAGGATCTGCTGGTGGTGGAGCGTGGCGCCGACCACATCTACTCCACTCAAGTTGAAGCACTTGGAACGAGCGACCATTCGATGGGAAAACTTAACATACCCTCAACGAGGCGCCGAGCAGTCTGTTTCTTGCTGGCCACGGTGTTGGCCGTCGAATACATCCACGGCATAAAGTTGTTTTCGACTTGTCGCCGTAGGGGGTCGTAGAACACACCCTGGTCCGTCAACGCAGCCGTCGCGTCCTCCATGACTTGGTTCAGCAGGACGCGGCTCAAGCTCGCTGCAGCCACCTTCTCATCCACCAGGTTGAACTCTTCTTGCCGCCGCCGCTGCTCGATCTTTTCTGCTCCTTTGATCGCGTATGCTTTTCTAGCCTGCGCGACAAGCTCTCGCACGGCTTCTGCGTCCAGCGCTTTATTCGTGTGCAGCTCCTCCTGATGTGGCAGACGTGAAATGAACGGCGCATCGGGCCACGTCCGACAGACCGTACCAAGTACAACGCAATGTACTTGAGCTCTTCCTCCCACTCGACTTCGCACAGAGCTTGCTTGAGCGTCTTGTTTACAAGTACCGTGAGCAAGGGCGCCACTTCCTCGTCAAAGTCAAACAAGTTGTCGGCCTCGGCGATCTACAAACATGGCCATCCGTCAGGAACAGATCGACCACACAGACGAACCTCAGTCGACACATCGACGCCAGTTTTCTTGAGCACAAATGGTTTTTTGTGCTTGTCGTTGGGCAGGAACGAGTCCGTTTGGGTCGACACCTCTGTCTCGTCGACGTGTGGAGATGGCTCAATCAAGTTGGCAGTTAAGTCAACAGGAAAGTCTGCCGTCGGACGAGATGAGATCACGTGGGGTCAGTCGCGAAGCATACATGTCTGGAGCGACGTCGGGGTGTCGAAGATAGCCTGCATTTTGAAGGGCTTTTGTGTGCTCGACCTTTGGTTGGGCGGGAGTTGGCTCACGCGCGCGGCGTTCTCGCGTTTGATGTGAATCGAGTTCTACAAGAGGAACATATTGGCATGTCGCGAAAAAGCAAAGAGAATGAACGATACCGCTGCGGCATACACGCTTCCTCTTGCTACGCGGGGGTCGTTCATGATGTTGAACACGGCGCTGTATACGGTAGTGTCGTGAGATATCGCGTCGACCTGGCAGCGACTGGAACGTACTTGCTAGGTTTCGCCTTCTTCTCGCGGTGCTTTCCCCGTGCATTCTGTACCGCCCGCGGCTTGGCAGCAAATGAGTACTGCAAGTCGTCCATCGCGTCGGCCTACTGCGCTCGCATGCGGTGGAGTCGCCAACGACCGGTGGAAACCACGTGAAACTGTTCCTCGGTGCCAGTTTCAATGTTGGTGTGACAGCAATCGTCGCATTCTATTGGACAATAATCGAACCATAACTAGCTACCATTGGTGAATTTACTGAAACATGTTCCCGAGCAGTCTGTGCGAGATTTGACCATTTCAGGGAGAGCGCGCGCCCCACCGCAATGGCGAGTTCCCTTCAGAGGCCGCAGCCGTGGTATGGCCATGCTGTAGGTCCATGGAAGTGGCCCTCCACTCCATGACAGCCATGCATGCAGATGAAGAATCTCACGCATTGAAAACGATGCAAGTTGCTGAAACCAGGGTTTTGGTGCCGAAATCTCGTGAATCTCAAGATGCGGTGCGTATACATAAGTAAAAACCGCACGAAATTTCGTGGAGCATCGTCAAGTCGAACAAATCGCCCGACGACGAGGACATTGCGCGATGGCCGACGCGACGGCACGACCACGTGCATTCGACACTACATGCATGGACGTGTGGAGGGCAGTGCAAGAAAACAAATTCACCGCTGTGGAGCGTTTGCTCGAGGACGGCGGCGTTCTGGTCGACGAGCGCAACAACTTGGGCGAAACCCCACTTCACATCGCGGGTACTTTGTCGATCCTAGCTCGTAAATCAACGGCATCCTCAAATATGATGCAGCGAGTCGCGGCTTGGAAGGGCTCGTGGACCTCCTCTTGCGCCACGGAGCAGACCCCAATGCACAAGACGAGGTGCATCATTCCTTCGAGCTACACGAGTCACGTTGGACCGTAGGAGTCGGGGTACACTCCGTTGCATCGAAGCTTTCTCCATGGCCACGTTGACGGTACCTCTCTTCATCTCAAGCACGAATGACTTGGTCGTTTAGCGTCGTTGCTGCTTCTAAACGGCGGGGCGATCCTAAACACAGAGGAATCGGCCCAGTGCCCTTTGGACAACGACCGCATGTCTCCACTAGACTTGTTGTCGTCGCGTCTTCGACATTCCCCCACCTCGTCGTCGTCGTGCGTCGAGGGAGAAGTGTACACGTTTGGCAAAGTGGACTTCCAGGTACAACGCCCCCTTCCTAAACTTCCATGTTGATGGCGTCGTGCAGCTGGGATATCACTTGCCCCATGGGGACGAGCAGTGCACTCCCCGCCGCGTCAAGTTTGAGTCTGGCGTCGATCTCGCTTTTGTATCTGCGGCCATGTACCACTCGCTCGCCGTGTCGACAACCGGTCGTTGCTACTCTTGGGGGTTTGGCAAGGGAGGTCGTCTTGGCACGGGCTCTGAATACAAGTACGAGTCGATCAAGCCACCAAACGCCCATGGTCTAAACACCTTCGGGAGTAGCTGCATCCATCCTGTGCCATTGCACTTCCCCAACCAGCGCATGATCGTCAAGGCGTCGGCAGGAGAAAACCATTCCTTGGCCCTGACGTCGACGGGCCAAGTGTTTTCTTGGGGCTCCAATAGCTTTGGCCAAGTAGTACCGTCCATGCACCGATCATCAAGGTTTCACTGATGTGTGGTAGCTCGGCTTCCCTGCCAAGCAAACGAGTGCCGCCAGTCGGCTCTCCCCCAAGCGCGTGGATGGCTTAAAGGGGGAAATTGTCGTGGACATTGCTGCAGCTAGCAGCCATTCCGCAGCGATCACGTCCAACGGGCATGTGGTCACGTGGGGCAGCAACAAGAAGGGGCAACTAGGTCGAAAGGTACTCTGGTGCATCGTTCTGGGGGCAGGGCACATTCGGACGGCAACTTGTCGCACTGTTTAGGAGGGTTTTGGAACGGACCAGGCGATGCATGCCCCGAAACGAGTCGACTCGTTGCTGCCCCACCATGCAAGCCCGGCAGTCCCTGCCGACGCCGTGTCCGTCGTAGCCACCAGGGTGTGTCAAAAGCCGCGGTCATGTCACCGCAACATCGCCATGTGTCGTAGATTGCCGCGTCGTGCTATCACACGTGCGTCGTGCTTGACGTTGTCAAGGATGAAAATCACTCTCGAGTCCAAGGCCAGGTGTGGCAGTGGGGCATGGGTGGATTCTTTCCGTCGCAAGTGCTCTTGCGCCACCAGTGTCGCGACGAGTCCCTGCGATTGCACCGTCAAAATGTGTGGCGACCGCGTGTGCAGCAGTTTCCCATCAGCATTGTCGACATTTCGTGCGCGCCTCAGCATTCCATTGGCCTTTGCGCTCTTGGCAACGTGTACGTGTGGGGCCATGGCCCCAATCCGCTTGCAGTCGGCGGTCGCCACTACATTCCGCTCAACGATCGCGCGACATCCATTGCGGCGGCCAAGGAGCACTGTGCCGTCGTGTTGGCGTCGGGGGATGTGTACACGTGGGGCTGTGGCACCCTAGGTACATTTGCGCTGGAGAAAGGGTCTCATCCTTCGCTCGTGGTGAGTTCGATCGTGTCTCAAGTGCAGTTGTGCCGTAGGCCACGAAGGGCGCAACTGGCTACCAACCCCCAAACGAGTGGCTAACATCAAACAAGCAAAATCAGTCGCAGCAGGACCGCACCATCACGTGGTACTCGTCACCCCGAAGCGGCCGCTCTTGGACGAAAGCTGCGGCGATGCGTCGCTCGTGGACAAGTGTCAACACGTGCTCCGTCAGCAAGTGTCGTTGCAAACGGTGGTGTCCATTTACGCCAAGGCAGACATGCTCGACATGTCGGCGCTGAAGACACTGTGCCGCCAGTTTGTGACTCAAAATTTGGACGCTGTGCTCGAGATGACTCGAAACGCCGACGAGTGGCCGATCGAGTTGTCGGACGAAGCGTGTCAGCGGCAGCGGGCAATTTCTTCGACTTCTTCACAGACTACTCGTTTGGGCACATGGACGGAGAGTCCGATCAAGAAAGATCTGGAAAAGAAGCTGCGGTCGTTGCAGAAACGCGTGGATCAACTGCGCGAAATTGAACTCTTGGTGGCGCCGACGGATGCCCAGAAAGCCAAGCTCAAACGAAAACCGAACCTCCTGTCACAAATCGTGGAGATCAAGGCCCAGCTGCCATCGGCACACAAGGACAATGCAATAACCAAAAGCAGCGACGCAACTCGACCGACGTCGATTTCACCTTCGACGCCAGTGAACATTCCGTCGAGTATTGTCAAAACAACGGACTTGAAGAAGAAGAAGCAAACAAAGCATGTCCAAGCTGCGTTGGAACAGGACTCAGGGCAAAAGAAGCAGCCCGTGGGGGTGGCAGCTGCTGAGTCCAAATCGACACATGAAAAGCCGGCTTCCTCGGTCGAGATGTCCAAACCAACCGCGACACACGCAGTTCCAGCAGAAGAAACCAAACCTCAACGTAAGGCTCGCACAAAATTTGTCCCGTTGAATTCGTTCCTCGATGCCCAATTGGTCCCGACTCCAGCGCTTCCACCATTAAACTCGGCATGGTCGCCGTCTCCAGTAATGTTGCTGCCGTCGCCGCCATCGCTTCCGCTCCCGATGAAGTTGTCCTCGAGTCCTGCAGCAAGCCCGATGTTGTTGCCAACGAAAAGCGGTACAAGCGCCTCTTCAGCGAGTGGGTTTACCTTGGAGAGCTTCATGAAACCATCGCGAAAATCCAAAAAAGCCGGCTTGGTCGAGATCCAGGGCACGGAAACTGCCAGCGCACCGTGGCAGACACTCGAGTCAGCCACCACGATCCATTCCCTCGCGGCGATTCAAGCGGCGGAAGCGGTCCAAGTCAAGCAAACTTGGAATCTGAAGAAGAACCAGTGGGGACTCTGCCACAATGAAAACGTCAACCTCGCGGCCATCCAGTCGATCGAACTCGAAGAAAAGCAACAAATCGACGCAATGATCGCCCAAGACTGCGAACTGGCCAAGAAATTGCAGGCCGAAGAATTGGATCATGCCAGGCGGCACCGACGCGGTGGACATGGCGAGAAAGCACAGACCAGGCCACGATCCAAGCGCCATGGGTCAGCATCGGTTCGTGCGGCGTAAAACGAAAACTCAACTGTGTACGAGATCAGGCATGTAGTTGATGTAGCGAGGGGTTTAGAGATTCAGACGAGCGTGGACGCTTCTACGCAGCACTGTCCTCGTCGCTTTCCTTTTGAGCGGCTAGCGATTCCATCGACGTCCGAATGACCTTGATCAATGCATCTCGTTGCTGCACTTCGTACGCTTTTTGCTTCTGCTTCCCGTCAAAGCTGAGGTAGAACGTCACCATGAGCGCATTCTTCTTCATGCACGTCATCCGCGCAATGTGACTCAAATGGTGACACGACCGGACGTAGCTCACGTCGTCCTGTACCTTGTCGGCCTTGAGCACGAGAACATGGTCTTCAGCGATGACGACATGACTAGACATGATCGCACGATGGAATCTAAACGACGACATCCATGCATGTACCGTGGCAGCATCAGCGTCTCCGTGCCTCGGGCTTTCTTTTTGTAGCACGAAAACAGTGGGGACGACACGAGGGGAAGGAGATCGACCATTCGGATTTGCATCCCTTTCTTCAACGCGTGGACCTCATGCTTGGACACAGTGTGCACGACGACACTTGATGGGGGCGGAGTCATGGCGCTAGTGTGGTCGGTGTCATGTATGTTGGCATCCCCCATAAACGAATCGGCCTCATCCTCTTCGTCGTCGTCATCATCGATTGAAAAGACTGCTTCTTTGGCCTTGGACGAAGGTTTCTTTACCGTTGAAGAGCCTGACGAGGCGCAACTACTTTGCGCCGCAGCTGGAACGGACGATGTGTGAGAGGAATGACCAGGGGACGACGTAGGAGGGCTAATGGAAATGGTGTCAACATCCAACCCACGGTCAAGAGTCTCGTACATCATAGGGGGTTCTGCATTGCCAAGAGAATTCGCAAATGAATTGGCAGCTTTCTTTAGCATGGTGGCGGGGTTGGCTGCTACATCGACCACGGATCGCATGCCTACATGTGTGCACACCGTTGTGTCAGATGCGGTTGTCGCATGTAAAGGTGTACCGGACGTCATCGACGTCGACACATCGTTCAAATGAATCGACTCTGTCTTTTTCAGCATCCAGTTTCGCGAATCCTTGAGAGCGTCTGTCATTTTGTCCGAGCCAGGAACAGCCTTGAGCGTCTTGCTGCTCACGGCCGCCATCGTTTTCGTCGAGTCCTTTAGCACGTTCGTCATGTTGTTGAAATAAGTTGACGCAGTGGATGGCGACGAGATGGAGGTTCGGCCAGTCTTGGTGCCTGCCGTAACGACCTTTTTGCGGCCGTCCGGTCCAAATCGACCAAGACATACACCGCCTTCAGTGCGCTGGATGTATTCGTCCTCTTCGTCCGAGTGATGGCTCACCGACGACGCGCGCCCTCGAGTTTTCAGAGCCGCGTCCTGTTGACACAAATCGCACGCTTTTTGGTCGTGGTCGGTCAAATCCGACAGCGAAAAGAGTCGAGACTTGGACAGGAACCGATGCGTCGAAGCATACCCGCCCTCGACCACCGACACGTAAGGAAACCCTCGCTTGGCGAGAAACAACACGGCGTCATTGATTTGAGCGGCGTCCTTGGCCAGCATGTCTGCGACCAGCGACTTGGGGATGTTGAGGTCTTTGATCAAGTGGTTGGCGTGACGTGCGTAGCCATGACCCATGATGCAAATGTGCACCGACGACTTGATCGGTTGCAACGTGGCCATCACAGCGTCGAATGCTGCAGGGTCCGTGACAGACTCCGAGTTGAATGCAAACGACGTCGGGATGCGTCCACGCGCGAGGTATTCTTCGGGGCGACAGTCCACAATAAAGAACCGAATCTATCCACACATACCCTTCACAAAACGGTTCTGCAGGAATAAATACGAGGCACGACCGACCTTTTCCGTGCAAGTCGACTTGAATCCTCGAAAGACGGACGGAATCACTTCGCACGCCGAGATCGTCATGCTAAAGTAAACCGCTGTGGATTCCAAGTGAAAACTGTCGCTACGATTGTTGCCGGTGCTGTTTGTAGCCACGCTGGAAGAAGCACTGGACTTGTCGGACTCGTTTTTCATGATGCTGGCCGTCAATTTCGACGCCCCGGCGAAAAATTTGGAGTTCATGGAGCTGAGACTCGCGCCAAACTTTGACATGCTTGCGTTTCCAGAAGATTGTGTTGCTGCAGACGACTCGAGTTGATCTTTGCTTCCCGTTCGGGGAGATGCCACAACGTTGGAAGTCGAATTCGTGCGACTGATAGATTTTTCACCCGTGTGTTGACTGGTGTCCATGCCGGCGTCGCACAGCTTGGTAGTAAACGAAAACGGCGTCGTGTTTATCAAAGTTTGCACCTGCTGCATCAACTGCGACGGCGACTGACTCAGCGTCTCCACAAGGAGCTGCATCATGACCGACTGCAGCGACGTCGCGTTAGTCAAACTCAGCAGTCGTTTCTTGGACTGCAGGATCGCATACAACACGACAAAGACGCCAATGATCGAGGGGTACGTGGCGCTCGCGTTCACGATCAAGCAATCCCAAATGTTGCTCAGAGCGGCGAGCGGAATCGTGCTTTTGTGGTCCGAGCTTTCAAAAAGCGAAGCGAGCCATGAATCCGGCAAAATGCCCGACTCACCTACATCCACACAATTGCTTAAAAGCCACATTCGACTGCATCGAAACGTACTGTCGCTCCATTGGGGCAACGTATGGTCAAGGTGCAATGCAATTGTTGGATCGTGGTACAACACGAGCAACTTGACAAGCGGCCGACGTGCCATGGCGATCGCTGCCGTCGTCACGTGCAATGGCGGCACGAGCCGCGTTAAGACAGCGTCCATTACGCCAAACACGTCTGGCCGCAACGGGTCAGCACTCGTCAACGCCAGGACGGGAAGAAAGAGCGACCCGAGTTTGAGAGGTGTCGGGTTGGACATGATCATCTTGTGGTGCGTCACGAGCACCCTCAAGAGTTGCTCGACGCTTTCCGTCATGAGCAATCGCGCGTTGTCGAGCGGCACCCCCTCTTGCTTGAGAAGGTTGCAAAATGCCGCATCTCCAAACAACACTGAGCAGCTTGCCAAGGCGTCCTTCTTCATCTCGTCGGTTAATTCTGTCAATGCGGTCGCAGGGGTCGACACAGGGTCCAAAGGTTTTGCCTATAAGAGTGAGCCGAATGAGCATGGAACCGTCCCGTGAAGTTCTATAACTACTTCGAGCAACACGGTCCATGAATGCAATCGCTCAGCTGCTGGGATTTTGCCGGCTTGCCGGTACGTGGCTCGCAATTGATCTAGCAATCTGTCACGAAAATACACCGACGCATGGAATTTCTGGCTTACCGTTTGCCTTGGTAGTGTTTAAAGATGGCGACGAAGTTTCCGCACCTACAATGCGTTAGTTCGAATTTACTGCCAAGGTATGCCGTGCACACCCGATGCAACTGGAGTTTGGCTGGTAAATGAATCAAAGGAGCTGTGTCTGGACCCGCCTTCTATCTGAACAGCTTCGATGCGCGGATGGGAGTGTGGCAATGCCGTGGATTGTGTTGTTGAGAGTTGAATCGGAGCAACGGGGGAGTTGTTCGAGTTAGAATGCGGGAGCCCCATGGACAAGGGCCCGCTGGTGTTAGAGTGGGGAGGGGAATTGTTGGTTTGTGATGGCCCTCCTGCTTCGACGGACTTGTTTGTCGAGTGTTGGGGGGTGGGCTGCTTCGAGGATTGGACAGGCATCGGTGGAGAAGCTGAAAACGCGCAAATGTCGGTTTGTAGAACCGTCGCTGGAACAGGTGTTACGGGTGCAGGAGATGATGATGCTGTTGACGGTGTTGTACTGCTAAGAATCGGAGCAGCGAATGGGTTACCAGGAGGTTGTGGTGCCGCCTCCGTCGTTGTCGACGCTTGTGATGGAGTGTCGTCGAGCGAGAACATATCTGCATCGGATATTGCTGGTGCCTTCGCCGTCGGTACGACAATGGGCACGTCCGACGCTTTCGTCGGTGACTTTTGGTCCAACCAATCCAAAAAGTCCGACGGATCTCCCGACGTACTGGCCGTCGGCGGGAGTTGAGTTGGCTGCTTCGTGTCTCCCAAATTCAAATCATCGAGGCCCAAGCTTTCAAGGGAGATGGATGCACTGGAAGCGCTCACGGAAGTAGTCGATGGCACACCCATGAGGTCCGTCGACTCGCCGAAGATGTCATCGAACGACGACATGCCTTGCGACGATGCAATCTTTTGAACAAAGCCCAGCATCGAGAAACGGCCGGCATCATCCGGATAATATACCGGATTTTCTGCATGCATCAAACGCGTTCGATAGTTAGGCACCAGTTCGAGCGCATGATCTCTACTTTGGCCACGACGAGCCCTGGGACCTGGCGCACAAGCATCTCGAGCTCCAGGTCTTTGTATACGTGGCAGTACCGTTGGTACACGGCCCACTTGCGCTCGTTGTCCATTTGCACGTGCGCCGGAACGGGTTCGTTTGCATCAATGTACTTTTGCTGCAACTTCCACTCGACCATGACATCTTGGGTCTTAAACTGGCGCTTCGACAGGTCGTCTTGCTCAAATGCCCACGCAACAAGATAGATCAGCCCGCCGACACGGACAATGCGCGCCAATTCTCTACGAGTCCTCGGCAATGACGCGCGAACAAAATCGCATATCCCTACCGCAAAATTTGCAGTCGATGCTCGATTGTGGACATGTGATGTAGCACGGCGATGCAAATCGCTGCGTCAAATGCCCCTGAGCGTAGCGGCATCGCGAGCCCATCGGACCCAAACACTTCATGGGCTCTGCAATGGAATGAACGTCAAAACCAACGACAAGCACGGATAGTTCCGTACCGTTGGGCGCAGACTGTGAGGAGGGGGATGCTGTGATCGGATCCAATCATCATCAGGTCGTTGTTGATGCCCAAATACTTGCCGTTGCCGCAGCCAATGTCAGCGACCAGGGATGCCGGGGCAAGCGACTCTAAGAACGACGCAACGAGCGGCCATGGATGGTGCCGAGTGTGGCTAAAATGCGATGCTATGCTATCGTACACCCCGTGCACGTGCTCTATCTCGACGGCACTTGGCCGCTGCACACTCTGAAGGGACTCCACTTGATCGCCACCGTCCAGCACGACCTATGTGAGACTGTGACAAGTCATCCGACTCGATTCGACGTGTACTCTGCGAAGCGTCAACGACAGCCTCCGGCCTCGTTCGACCAGACTGCCTTGAATGAGGTCATACTTTCGATACGCGATGCCGTGTTTCCAGAGATACCGTGCTTCACCGACCATGAGGCACATGGAGCCTCGTCTTAAGAGAAAGTGCTTGACGATATTTGGGTTGGACGCCAGCCGAAAGTCCATCACGATGTCGCTGCCGAGCGAGAGCGACGCAATGTACTCGGTAAATACTCCCGGCGTGTCAATATGCGGGGCGATCCCTTGTCCAGGCAGGTATTCGTTGACAGTGACTTGGTTGGGCGTGGCAATGTCAGGGCGCAGAAGCTCCAATCTCGTCAAGACCGACGCGCAGAAGTCTGGCATGGGGCCCAATGGCGCGTCGGCGTCGACGTCCCGTGTGTCGTAGCGAAATGCAAAGCCGTAGTGCTGGACCCGGCGCTGAATCGATGTTTCGAATGGTCGCGAGTCGATCGCGTCAAGTATGGTGGCTTCTTCGTCCGGCGAGAGAAAGCCTTCGATGATGGATAACCCTGGAATCACGACCTGGGCAGTCGATGACGTGCACGGCAAAGACGATGGCGACGACGATGCAGCCGGCGCTTCGTTCGAAAACTGCACAAACAGCTTGCGGCCACCCAAGTCGTCTCGAATTGCACCAGACAAGGCCTCGCGGGCACGCACAGCGGCTTCAATTTCTTCAAACGTCACCAAGATAAACCCCTAAGCACACCTATGACATTCGACTCCATAACTGGATGGCGAAACCTTATCGTCCTGAGAATACACGTCGGTCACCGTGCCAAATGCACTGAACGCAGCTAGGACAGATGCTTCACCAACACCATGGCTGCCTCCCACGGCGCAATTGGCCACGTACAAGTACCTCGTTGGGAGGTCTGGGTTCTGTTTTCATGTCAGGGCTATGGTGTTGTGGTGGTAGGAACGTGCATTCACCTTGGGTTTCCTCGCTGGGGGCTTGCTCATGGTCAGCTTTCGTGCGCAATGTCCAATCAAAGGGGCGTAACAACGGGATGAATGATTGCTCCAATTGAATAAATGATTTGTTTGTTGTGATGTACTACGTAGTACTACGTAGTAATCGAAATACTACTACTATGTAGTACTACTAGTAGTACGTTGTTTCCAAGCATTAATTACATGAATTTTCATCTATATGACCTTCGCATAACAAATGGATGATGGCATCCAACTCCCGCCAACAACCATGAACAGAGCGCTGCAAAAGGTCGTCGTAGTCGTTGGCACAACCGGCGCTGGCAAGACGAAGTTGTCGGTAGAACTGGCCAAGGCGTTCAATGGAGAGATTGTCAATTCGGACGCGATGCAGGTGCGTTGTCATCTTGACGTTCCATGCTGTTGCGGTTGTGTGTCAATGAGTTGTGGCGCGTAGATGTATCGCGGCCTGGACATCGCCACGGCAAAAGCGTCCGTGGATGAGATGCAAGGCATCAAACACCACCTGCTCAGCTGCATGGACCCTGTCGACGAGTGCACCGTGATAGAATACAAAGCCCAGGCCATGGCGACTGTACGCACCCCATCCCATCGTCGTATTCAAGCGCGGCGTAGATCCACGACATCCTCTCCAGAGGAAAGGTTCCAGTTATTGTCGGCGGTACGATGTACTACACGCAATCCATTTTGTGGAAAGCTCAACTGATCGAAGAAGCGGCCGGTGTCAATGGCAACGTCAGTCACAGTACACCATGCCCTTGTCATAACTGTTTTGCGCCAGGACAACGCAGCCATTCCTGCAGACGCAGACGCAGCGTACCAAGCTCTCGTGCAAATTGACCCGGAGATGGCCCAGCGATTGCATTCGAGGGACGTTCGACGGGTACCTGCTCCCACATCGACGCTTGATTGGAATCGATTTACCAACGCATGCCTAGGTCCAGCGCAGCTTGGAGGTGTTTTACCAAACAGGCACGAGAGAGGCACGAATGCTCTGAGTCTGACTGGCAGGGCTGCATAGGAGTGAAACACAGCGAACTGATTGCCAAGCAAGCTCACGAGAACGACGAGATGTTGTTCGATGCGTGCATGTTGTGGGTGGATTGCGATCGATCGGTGCTGGCACAGCGCTTGGATGACCGAGTCGATACGATGGTTCAAGCTGGCTTGGTCCTGGAGATCGAGGCTTTAATGGACAACATTCAGCACCACTTGGCGGCATCTCCGATTCCGCTTGGACAGAAAGGCATTTCCCAAGCTATTGGATTCAAAGAGTTTCGGCCGTACCTGGAAGCAAGAGCCGCCGGTCACGACACGGCGACTGTGCTGGAGCAGTGCATTGAGCAACTGAAAATTGGCACTCGACAGTACGCCAAGCGACAGCTCACGTGGATTCGAAATCGCATCGTGCCACGGAACATACCAGTTTATAAGCTCGACACGACGGATGTCGCGCAATGGCCAACAAATGTGACGGCCCCAGCCATGGCTATCGTGTCGGCCTTTCTCAAGAACGAATCTATTGACGTTCCCGCATGTGTTGCGTCGGTCGACGTCGACAGTGCCGACAAGAAGGTCAAGAATCTATGCGAGCCATGCGGGAATCGCGAGTTCGTCGGGCTAGCACAGTGGAACGAGCACTTGCGATCCAAGGGTCACCGATATCACATGAAGCGATTGCGACTGCTTGAAACCGGTCAATTGTTTGACCGGCCACCACCCAAGAAGCCCAAGGACAAGACAGAAGGCATGGAGCCCAAAGAGATGGGCGGTGCATCTGCAACACGTAGTCCATGAGGGAGAACGTTCATGTGCCTACATCTCTCGATCTGCATCATGCACTCCTCGAACCGAAAAATTGGTCAATTTTGGTGCTTCAGGCCATAACCATTAGCAGAGCTGCTACTGGCATATCGCTGTACAATTGTTGTTTCGACTTTTTCAGTGATACCAAGTCTGGGTGAGAGGGAGGCATGCGACAAAGGTCGAACCCAAGGTTCGAGCGAAAGCGCTGGTGGTCGTGGCCACGATAGTGGGCAAGGTATGTGTGGCTTTTGCTTGACCGTCATCGTTGGTTCAATACTAAAGACGTCAAACGTACCGCTTGAAAAATGCGTTTTACTAGTGCTCTACTGATATCCATATGAAATCTCTTGCTGGAGCGCGAGCAATGTCAAGCATAAAACGCTACGTTAAACACTCCAGAGACCGCCCAAATCGCAATGTGTGTGTCGGTTCGCAAGATGGACCGAGCCAATCAGAGTCAAAACGCAGGAACGTCGAGCTGATCGACCCATTTCGCACCCGATGGCAGGAGGCAGCAACAGCAACGGCACGACGGCGCTCGTCTTGCCCCGGCAGTACTCCGCGCGCCTCTTCCGCTCATCATGGCTCACAGCGTTCTCGGTGTACTCTGCCGCCCAGTGCGATTTGTGGATGTGCTGCACCATGACGTTGCTCGTACTCTTCACGTCGCTCAACTATTGGCAGCATCCCGTCCGTGGGTGGCGACGCAACGTGGACATTTCCGCCGTCGTACTGGGCTTCGCGTACCATCTTTATCAATCGCTGTGGTGTGCATCGTGGTCCCACCAAATTCTGTACTACGCGTTCGTGGTCAAGACCGTATACTGCTACTCCCAAGCCCGTGCAGCCCCAAACAAGGACGTGTCGTCACGATGGCACATGATCATGCACTTGGTTGGCAACATTGGCAACCTCATTTTGTACGCCGGTGGGTTAAACGTATAACAAGTCAAAGTGCGATTTTGTTCTTCATGAGCGAACTTGCCCGACGTCCTCGTCGGCCAAGCGCTGTGCCACAACTTGAATGAGGTCAGTCAAGCGGTGCCGGGAGAAATTGTGTACTCGCGACTCGAACGTCACGTTGAACATAAAAGACGTTCGATTCGTCTTTTTGCAATGGTATTCGTCTTGCTGCTTCAGCCCAATGACTACCCCCGGCCCAAAGACTCCTTGAAATGCTGCAACCACAGCTTCAAGCGAGTATCGAGGACCACGCCAGAAACTCACATGGCGACTCCATGTCTGGGCAAAGCGTGAACGATTGCCAGCGATGGGGGACTCTTGGCCAAATATGTGGATTAGCCCAAATTCCGAGCGAAATGCTCGATCTTGCAAGCGGTAACCGACACTGTTATAGCCCAGCGATGAGAGTTCAGCGTAAGGAAATGGCACCACATCGAGAAGAAGCATTGCCCCCGCTGCAGCACATGAAACGACTTGCCACGTGTCGCCTTCGTTCCGTTGAAGGGTGTCTGCAGGGGTCCCGCCTTGGCCTTCGCACAGCGACAGCCAGATTTGGCCACCAGGAGCCAAGACGGACTGACAGCTCATGAAAAACTCTTTCAAGAACTCGCGATGCTTGCTGATCTTGTTTCGAGTGTTTCCACCATCGGCAAAATGGGGGAAGTTGAACACAATGCGATCAAATCCAGCGTGGACATTGAAAGCAGTCTTGTAGTTCGCCAGAGCCGTTGCATTCACTTGGTGTAGCACACGCACACCGGCCGCTCTCAGGAACGATAAGGATGCAGCCGCACTAGGGTACATGTATTCGATATCATCATGGGAGTCCAGCGACGTGGCAATGATGGACGAGGGCGGGATGCCGTCACGTTGAAAGGAGTTCGTGAGAGCTTTCGAGTACGAAAAGTTGCCATCGCCGACAATCAGCACGTTGTGGGGCGGTAGCTGGGCCGTCAGGCGCAAGGCAACAAGGTCCGATGATACTCTTGTGCCGAAGTAAACGCGCGGCGCCGCCTCGATCGCCGCCGATATACATGCCTGCCTCAGGACTCCGAGTGGTCGCCGTAGCATGATCACTGGATGAAAACTCGGCCTGTACAGGGCTTTGATTGGCTGTACGCCAGGAGCGAAGCTTTGAAAGCTCTTGACCAACTTCGTATCCACAACAGCGTCATCCCTTCTCCAAGGCAACCGCTGCCGCCTGAAGCGTTAGCCCGAATTGCAAGCAAGAAATTGCAAGCCATTGCTCAGGATGGCTAGTTCGCCAAGACACAAGACAAAAGCACGCCGTTTTTCTTTACATCTGCCGGTGCTTCGATTCAATATCAACACGTAGACGAAAATGCTGTGGAATATTGCAAGGCCTTCGTTGCACCGACATCTTTGTTCCTGCTCCCCATCAAGACTAGTCACACCACCTGCGGGCCATCCCGAGATCTTAGCGACATCAGAAAGCAATAGCGTATGCGTTGGTGGTTGTGGGCCGACGCGGCCGTCGTGAAGATCGTTACATTACCAATACAGCATTCCTCGACAAAATTCCAGTGTCTACGCATTCGGGGTTTGCCCCACGGCCCCTCAGACGCCGCGGAAGAGCAAAGAAGCGATTTCGAGCGCCGCAATAGGTGTAAGTTCATGCACAGCACTGGCTCTACTACTCTCGACAGTACCCATCCACGAGCGACGCCAGCCCCCTTTGCCCATCGTTCCGTGTGCTGGCCTTGGATCACTCGGACCGTTTTGCCCATCGTTGCACATCTCATACGTTGGGATTGCACACGTGTTGGAAAAGGAGTTTTGCCCTGCTGGCATGCACTCCATTGTTTGCATATTTGAATTCTAGCCAATCCGAGTCGTTGCATTCAAATCATAGCACGTGGATTGGTTGCGCGACGCCGTATGCCACCCACCATGTCTCCCCGCCGCCCGTGGCTTGCGTCAGTCGCCCTGATCCCCCCGACTGACCACAACACCATACAAACGGGCGGGTGGGGGGGCATCGTCCCTCCTTCTGGTCGTTGAAGCCATTTCTCTCCCGGCAATTATCCGGATTCGTCCCGCTTCTTCTCGCACTGGACTTGATTATTGTAGCGAGCAGCGGCTTCCGGATACGGCCGACCCACGCGGGGTGGGGGATCCGTCGAACGAGCCAATCAAAACGGCCCGCGTCCCCCCCTTTGGTAACGGCGAAGGTAATTGCGTTTGTAAGTCAGTGTCGAGAAGCACACACGCGCGTTACGGGTTACTGCCTCCCATTTGCCATTTTCCCAGGCGCGCCGCACCCGCGATCGCAACTGTTGGCGCTGGAGGTAATGGCCCGACGCGAGACGCTAGGCCCTGTGTAACACACATGCCGTTTAGATATCTACCGTCAATCCGTCACGGTCTCCTTCATCGTCTCAAATGAACCAAGACCACAACAAACACCAGCCGCTGTCGCTGTCTCCCCGAAACTTGGGGATGGACGACCTCCGTGACTTTTGTGGCCCCCTCGGCGCGTTCAAGACGGGCTTGACTCCCCGTTTCTCGACCGGCCTCACGCCGCGAACAGGATTCACTCCGCGCACAGGATTCACACCTCGAGATTACATGAGTCGACACGGAGGATTCCCGTTGTCCCCTCGAAGTGGAGGTCTCGGCGGCATGGGCTTTGGTCAGCCCCATATGGGCGGTGGAGGTTACTCGCCGAAAGCACAAAGCCAGTCGATTCTCAAGGGCCGATACCAAGGTATGAACGAAACCCCACGCGACGATGTGACCTAACTCTTGTCGTTCCGTAGACCCAATGTCGGGTAAACCGGAACAACACCAAGGACACATGAACCCAGACATGATGCACCCCCTTATGTATGAATACCTGAACCGCAGCCAACAGGGCCAACACAACGGTCCTCCCCACGGTGTGTCCATGATGCATCATGCGGGCCAACAGCCTCAAATGTCGACGTCCATGACCAACGGCCACCACTCGTCCAACATGTCGAATGGAGCGAGCTCTCCCACTGGGTCGGACAACTTGGACAAGCAAGACGAGTTGGACGCCCGCCGCCGACTGAAAAACCGTGAACGTGTGCGCAAGTGCCGTAAGCGTAAGCAAGATCGCTTGAACTTTTTGGAGGATCGCAACAATGAACTCGAGAAAGAAAACGGCGAGCTCAAGACCAAGATCATGCGTCGTGGTGATGGCAGTCCTATCAACAAAGCCATGACGGAAGAAGCGTTGCTGGAGCTTCGGGCGAAGCAGACGAACACGTTGCAGCTCGCTCAAGCGATCATCAACGAAGGCATGATGTCGTTCGAAGCCTCGGCGAAATCCGTGTGGACCCCCAATGCCACCATTTTGGACGGTGTCACGGGCGAAAAGCTGACCAACATTGACGTGATCATCGAGAACAAGAGGATTTCCGCCAGTGTTTTTTCCAACTATAAGGTCAAAAACTTCTCGGCGGACTGGCAAGCCCACGACAAAGCCATGATCAAGTGGGACATTGAAGCGTCGCTGCGGCCGAACGCACCCAGCAGTATTGCGTTGAGCTCTCCGTTCCATCAACTGGCGCCTCATTTCAACAACGAAATGTTCCCCTTCCACATGGTGTCGCATGTGACGTTCAGCGGCGACAAGATTGCGGAGGAAGTCCGGTTTGTCGACGTGGCCAAGTTGATCTCGGTTGTCATGCAAAAGCAGCGCGACCCGTCCAAGATTGTCGAGATTGTCCAAGCGGTGGCGTCGACGTCGTTGTAGAGTGTGTGCTCTTGCGGTAGTAATAGATGCGTGTAAAAACCAATCAAAGTGTGGTTGTGTCTGCGATCGAAGCAAGGTCACAAATCCCACCGTGCCAGTCCTCTGTTTGCAACTAGTTACATGTTTAGCAACTCGTCTAATTCATCGTCGATTTCGCACGAAGTTGGCGCAGGACGAGCTGGTGGTAGCGATTGTAGGGATGACATCGTTGTGGCCACGGGCTTTGGCGGACTTGGAACAACTTTGGCTGCCGGTGAAGGATCCACTTGGACTGTAAGTGAAGATGAGGCCGCGGTAGAACTTGCCGAAGACGCGCTCGGTGTTGGAGCTGGGATGCTGGTGGTTGGAATTGTTGGCGTTGACATTGTTGTTAATGTCGATGTCGAAGGAGAAGCCTTGGAAGACCCAACTTCCATGCAGGTTAGATCAATGCAATACTTGGAATCGATCGAGAAGCGCTTGTTGGGTGCAATGGTTTCCAATTGTCGTCCGATTTCGTGCAAGTCCTGAAACCCCTCATTAGTAGAGCGTCGAAGCAATTGGATGAACTCACCAATGCCATGTCTGGGGTGTCATTCTTATTTTCCTCGTCCCATTCCCGCATCACCTTTGTTTGGAAGTGCCCTGCACCGCCAGTGCTCTGCGTAAGTTGCTGGACGTCAGGGTTGAATCGCAAGTCTTTCGCTTTCGCATGTGTTGGTTCTGCACGTTCGCCCTCGTTGTCACTTACGTTGAATGAATCTTCCTCGTCACCCTCTTCTTCCATGAATCGGAATGCATTGCTCTCGAGTTCTTTTGTATCTCCATGTCGGCCACCTCTTCCGCCGTGCTGTCCGTCCCTTCCTCCTCGACCACGCGCTCGGTATTGGAGCTGCGATCGGCCCATCGTATTGCAATGCAATCACACTATTAAACGGTACCTTGCATCAAACAATAACACTATTTCTGTGCAAGTGCCGGAATTTTTCCGGATTCCTTGTGCCACCTTCGATTCCATAGGCTATCATATATAAAATTTTACAGGCGTGATATTACTCCAGTGTAGCTGGGGATTCCTTTCCACTCGTGCCTTCTCCACCCATGAGGGTTGAGTCTGTAGCAAACTGCAGGGCCATGCTTGCTCGGCCCATCGAACCAGAAGAGCCGTTTGGAAGCTTACATGGCCACGGTTGTGTCGATATGATCCTTCAATCTCCTCTATCATAATATCACCATACGATCTATTTTTAGCCGCAGGTATCGCTCCAAGCACCGCCCCCTGAAACTTATACTGTTAATGCCCGTTCTTTGGGCTTCCTTTGTGGTGAAGACGGGTCGTGGAGCGAACCATGGAGAAAGGTCGACCACGACCAAGTTGTAAACTTCACTTCGCACTCGTTGGCGTGTGAACATTCGATGGAAGGCAGCGGCGTTATCGTAATTCAAGAGACTCTATATCGGCCACGACATGACGTTCTATGATATCACTGTGTTTTCCCGACATTTGATTGGCCACAGTTTCACGGTTTCACGTTGCCGTGTGTAGATTGCGCCCGCACTACCAAATCCTTCGACAAAGAAGATATTCATCGCCGCCGCGGGTTCCGCTGCCGCCATGAATCGGCAGCTATTTCTCATGTCCGTCCTACACATCGCCGGCCACGCACATGCGACCGATTGCGTGAAGAAGCCACCAGCGTCAGTCCATACCATTGCAATCTGTGACGACGCGACGTATGAGCTCGAAGGATGGTCGGCAGAGTTTGGCGACATCTGCGGTGGCACTGGGTGCACTCCACGTGGTCTACGATGTCCTCGTCAAGGCTCAGCTGCCGTCGAAGGATGCCACTCAAACCTCACGTCTTGGAACGAACAAATGAGGTCGTGCATTGCCCCAGAAGACTCTGTGTGCTCGCTTATTGCTGGGAGCCTAGAGTCTGGTGGCACGTGGGGCTGCACATTTCCATCACAACGATGCTCCAGTGCAATTGAACAAAGTGAAGAACTGAATGCAGGAACATGGCCAGTGCTTATCGCGTCAGACACAAGCTACGACATTGCAACAGTCTCCAAGCAAAATCTGTGTGGTGGAGTTGGACTATGTCGGCCCACAGGAACACTTTGTCCAAGAAAAGGATCCATATCGGCACCACTGAGCCCTTGCAACATATCCATGCCGTCGTGGAATTCATCAACACAAACTTGTATTGCACCTGAAGACTCGGAATGCACCTTCCGAACTACAGTGCATCTACAAACAAACACTACAACAAGTGTTTGGCAATGCGAGTACCCATCTATCCCAGCCGCAACGTTCATGCCCAGTCACTCCGACGAGCAACCACCCTTCCCGACGACTACAAATACAACTCAACAAACAACAACAAATACGACTAACGGTGCCGCACTAAATCCAACCACATCATCACAAACCACGAACATACCAACCTC